AAAAAAACGACCAGCTCATTCTTCTTTATCCAATTACAAAGTTAGATAAAAAGAGAACGACTCCAGTACATTATGTCAAAAGGGTAGAACACATTGCTCATCAAATGTCAGATATCATAACGACTCACATTCAAAGCCAACATCGAGATCTTGTGGTGTCGACTGCCAGAGACGAAATCAAAAATTATTAAGCAATTTTTACATATATATTTTGACATCTTTAGGAAGTATTTGTAAAGTTGTATATTGACATTGCATATAAATTGTTATAACTAAATATAGCTAACAAAATGAGAAAAATATACTTTTTTATACAAAAATGCAAAACTCTGAAATAAAAATGTTTAAAAAATATGTTTCAATATCTTAAAGTTGACATTCCAAACTACAAAAGAAAAAATAGTTAAAGTCTAAAACATTTAGTTACTTAGTAACCTGAAAATGAAGTTTTTTTAATATACATGAATGATTATAAATTGAAGATATATTGGACTTACATTTTAAACAAATTTTATTATTGCTATTGTATTTAAAAAATTTGTAATTTATTAGGAAAATGTTCTTAATAACAATTACAGACAACATAATATATAATATTATCAATACTAAGATTTTATTCGGAGACCGACAAGAATTATACACTAAGTATAAGCATATTCAGGCCTATGACGGTAGACAAAGCTAGATCTTTTTTGTCTAAATAATTCCCAGTGAATTATCTATATCCTATATATGTACATGCATATATATCATATTTTTGTCGTTATTCAAACTGCGCGCCGAAATTTTTCTGGATTTTATTTAACGCAATTAAACTACTGCAATAATATCACAAGTTAAATTAAATTGACAATGTGCTAAAAACCTTAAATAAATTTATTGCGAAAAATATTACCTCGGCCGAAACCCGGATCTTTCGTATTCCGTACGAGCGTCTTAAGCACAGACTTCTATATATACTACTAGACTGCTAACTCCCTTAGTACAAGCTTGTATAAAGTGGACCCCAAACTTATAGTGGTCCTGCGCATGCGTCACGAACTACACCGAAGGAATGTAATATGGCTGTCCTGCGATGACTGGTGATACTGCGAATAGCCGTATTGTAGC